TACATGGGTTCACCTGTTCAGGTAGGATGCAGCTTCTCCTATTAAGAACAGAGATTTTGGAAATTTACACATGGTGCGATACATGCAATGGGACTGGTTTCTCTCCTCTTCTCCACTCTTTACTAGGACTTATATGTATGTATCTATAACACACACAGGCACACATGCACGCACGTGCACACGCATGCACACATGAGACTTTTTTTAAATACAACTCAACACTACAAAGAGGCCCCTTTAGCCTAAGAGCACACAGGAACTCTGCTATGGTGAGTTCAATTTTGGCAGTCTAATTGTCTTGTGGTTATTCTACCCTGAGGCCAGACCACAGTGATGGCCTCCCCTATCCCCACCCAACCACACCAAAGTGGGGGAAGGGGCCATGGAGAACACAAGAACTTTCTCCATCACCCATGAGTGGGTGACCACAGGAGCCTCGCTGGAAGGTCTTGGGATGGGGGTGACTGTTTCCCAGCTCCTGTCCCTGTGGATTCTGTGAGGGTTGGAATATATGGCCTGGTATAAAGTAAATGACGGTCTTACTCATCCATCCAACTCTGAGTGTGTCTGACCAGGTGTCAGTAAACTGTTGGAAACGGACTGTTACTCACCCTCACCTATTGTTGAAGGCAGGGTGCTTGGTGACATTGCTAGCCAGCTGGATACATTTCTACCAAATAGCATTGTGGACAGGGAACATTTCTTTGACTCTACTCTCGCACATTTCTCCTCCCCCACCTAGTTTTCTGTCTGCCACCATTTACCATCCATCTAGCAATCGATTAAATATTTTACAAGTGAGTCCCATGAGACTTTGTTTTGGAAACTGTGGATTCAGTGAATAAGGCGGGTCCCTGTGTTTTGGTAGTCTTTCTCCTTATTCAGAAGGGATGAAATCATACAATGATGGGAGCTAGCAGACTTATAGCTTCTATGGTCGAAGTGGTGGATTTTGGGGAGGCCTTACAGCCATGTGGCTGAGCGCCCGCATGGACCTCAGACAGACGTGGGCTGGAACGGTGGCCATGCCTGTGGCCCTCGGTTGCTTTCTATGGAAATTGGAAATGACTGTGTCTGCTCCACAGGGCTGTTGTAAGGATCATGTGGAGAGCACTGAGCATTGTGTGTGGCTCCTGGGAAGGGAGTTCTAGTAACTGAGGGTCATTGTTGTCATGGCTGTTGGGGAATGCACTATAGCAGAGAGGCTGAGATGGCACGGCATGCCCGTGGTGGGGGACCTGGATGGAGACTTCATGGAGAAAAGAATGTTCCCAATCCCGGCTTCTACATAAGAGCGGGAGTGAGACCCCCAACTGGCTAAACCAGGAAGATTGTGGGGCTGGGGCCCCCTGGCCACCTGGGGCTCTCTGTAATTTCTGCCTCCTTGTTCCAGATTGGTTATCTACCCCAGATTGAGCAGCAACTCCATGGCAGATGATGACTGGGAGAGCTGCCTGAGGTAGACACTCACAGTTTGCCAGCGCTGCCAGGACTAACAAGAGGGGGCAGGAGGGGAACACAGACCCTCATGCAAAAGAGTGGGTTTTGAATTCAGTGGGTGAGCTACTTCTTTTTTTTGAGATGTGTCATTTGTCTCTGTGTCTTAGAAAGCCAGCCCTGCCTCTCTTGCCTCAACTGACTCTTGGATTTTGTGAGTGACCATCTCACAGTCTTCTAGCAAAACACTTCTGAGGTAGACTCCTTACAAAGCCTCGTGCAGTATTCAGAGCAGGGCGAGAAGCAAGGGGCAAGAGATTTGGGTTCTGGAAGAGCTCTGGCCCCAGCAATGCACTCAGACTGGCCCATTCTGGTGTCCCCCTGGGAGACACAAAGTTGAGACCTGCCTGGGCTCTAAATGGAAGCATCTGCCTGTAACTGGGCCCTGAAGGGAGTTACAGAGAATCTGGCAGGAAAAGGGGTCACTGGGTGATCTGGCTTCCTCTCATCTGCCCCTGGTCATTTCTGAACTAAAACTGGGCCCCAGCCCTCAGGCGTGACCCCTGATCCCAGACACCTGCAAATGGTGATTTCCTCACAGGGTTCTGGGTAAGTAGCACTGTGGAGGTGGCCAGCATTTAAGTGAAGCCTCTGACATGGCTGCATTTATGGTATCCTCCTAAAAAAGGAGATGCAAAGCCCTTTTGACAAATTGTTAAATAAAGATTGCAAGTTGTGGAAGGATTCATGTAGCAAATTTTTTTACACATGTATGTAGATATATAAAGTTCTGGAAGGCTGTGCACTAAACCACTGGCGAAGACTGAGAGAAAAGGAGAACTTCAGCTTTTTACATTATGGACTTTTTTTTTCCTCCAGAAATTTCAGATAGTCTTGAAAGCATGACTTATCATACAATACTTACATTCTGTACTTTCCTTGCCACCTGACAACCTCAGAAAACACAAAACTAGTTCTAGCTTCAAAACTTCTGTGACTCTGCACACATTCTGCACCTTCCAGTTCTCTCCACGCCCTTCCGGTCCCAGGGACCCCCGTTCTGATCACTCAGCTATGCACGATCGTTGCTACCATCACCTGCTAATTTCCTTCGTGATCACGGACTTTATTCCTGGCAATTGTTCTTCATCAATTCAAGTTCACAAAACCATCCTTTGCCTTGTAGTGAAGCAATTTGGGGAGACATTTTCCACAGTGTGGGGGGAAAGGAATCTGGATCAATACAAACTCAAACTGTTCGAAGAGCCCCACAATGCTTTTGATTTTTTCTTCCCTTTCTTCCCTGATGCTTTTGCATGATAAGCTTCCTTTGTTTTCCACTGTGATTTGCCTTACTGTCCTCTACTTTGATTTCTTTAGGAAATCAAGCTACTAGGTTGATGGAAGGCTGTCCCGAATGCTGAGCTTCCCTTGAAGTAGTTTCATCTCTTAACTGTGCTCTGTTGAACTTACCACAACCAAGTTCTCTTCCATCAGAGGGTTGGTAAGATGCAGTCGGAGCTGCAGGAAATGTGAAAATATCACAATCCCTCCTCTGAGGATTCCGCTGATATTCGGCATCAAATGTGGCTTCCCCCGCCCTGCAGTCTCCACAGATCTCCCATGGCCTCCTTCAAGCTTCTGGCTTCTGCCTGGAGCAATCGGGTAATTAATTCCTAAGACGCTAAGTGGGTGATGGAGGCTGGGCGGTGCAGGGGCCTGGGCCTGGGTGTGTTCTCGCACCCTCTTCCTCTGGCTGTCCGGGCTTCCCCTGTCTCTGCCATGGGCCTCCTCAGGCTGCCCGGGGCAGGCTCCTGCCTCCCTCCGCCTCCTTGTACCTGCTGGCTGTGGCAATCTGCAGGCAGCGTGGACCTCGGGGTGTGCTCGGCCTGTCCCAGAATAATAGGAGTCAGAGGGCGGCGTGAATGGGGGTGTGCATGTGCCTTAGCACATCCCTTCAGCCTTGGGGAGGGTTTGCGCGAGGAAGGACTAGGGTATGACTCGAATAGTTCTCAAACAAACACAAAAACAACAATAACACAAGAATAAAGAGAGAGCTTGCACATGGCAGGGCCACTGGAGGGTTGTGTGGCCCTGGGCGAGTGCCCTTCCCGAGCCTGGCCTCGCCTCTGCGGAGGCCATTCTGCTGAACTCCCTGCTGGAGACCCTGGGGTCACAGCTGCTGAGAACCTGCTCGCTTTCTGCTGGGCCGCCTGCTGTCCCAGATCTCTCAGAGCCTGGCTGAGGAGCCAAAGGAGGGCTGCTCCCGAAGACACTCTCCCTCTCCTCCCGGCCTCATCCCCCTAACCGGGGTGGCCCCTCTGAGAACCCGAGGGAAAGCTGGACCTGCCATCAGTGAAAACGCACAGCTTGCGGGGCATCTTAGGACCCTCGGCCTGGGTTAAGAGCGGGTGTCTTAGGGAAGTGCCTGCTCCTTGAGCAATGGGGTCTGCCCTCAGCCCCCCTTCACGCAGGGACCTGGAGCCATGAACCGCCAGCAGAGAAAAGGGGAGCGGTGGTGCTCAGGATGAAGGCAGGATGGTCCTGTGGCTTGGGCTGCAGTGGGGTGGCTGCTGGCTGGCTTGGGCGCGAGGAGCCTGCAGAGTCCCGCCCCTGCCCCCCCCCCCCACACCCAGCTGAGACGGCTGACCGACCCAAGGCACTTCTTACCATTCACTAGTCACTTCTGCCAAACCTTCCAAACCTGCTAGGGGCAACTGGTGAGCTTATGGAGGGCACGTGACAGCTAGCGCGGGACTCTGGGAGATGGGCGCCACCCTTCCTCCTCTCCTCCTCTCCCTCCCGCCTGGGCTGCTCTGGCCTCACAGGAATTGTGAGAATCATGGGGTTTGCACTTCACAAAGTCCCCGATGCTTTGGGAGAAAGGGCCTGGAATGCACCTTGCACAGTCGCCCTCCATTCCCAGCCCTGCCCCTGGCATTTGGGAGTGACAAAACCCCTTGGGGAGCTGCCACTCCAGCCTGGATTCACTCTGTGCTGAGCCTGTGCATCTGGCCTGTTCCCATTCTCACTGGACATGAGGATGAGGCAGTCGCTGCAACATTTCAGGGCAGGGGGGCGGCCAGGGGCCTCGGTTTTGGAGTTGCCTGGCCCGTGCCCCAGTTCTAGCCCTGCCATTTACCTGCGGGGTGCCCACGGGCAATTTCCCACCCTCCCTGGCACTCAGGATCCTTGTTGGTAGGTGGGGCTAATTATGTAACACATTGGGCGGGGGATGGGGGGTAATAATGCCAAAATTACATTACAGGGTCGCAGGACGAAATGAGGTCATTCTTACAGAATTTGGCTCAGCACCAGGCACCCGGAAGGACTCAGAGTCATCAGTGGTCGTGCAGGGTGGGCACGGCTGCGTCTCTCACCCACTTCTCCAGCCAAAGTGGTCTCCGTTCCCTTCCTCCCAAAGCTCTACATGTCATTTTCCTTTAAGGCTTTGCAGCGTGTTTTGTACTGCGGGGTGTTCAGTCCCACGATTCAGCAACTTCTTTACTCAGCATAGTGACATAGTGACGAGAGCTCCGCATGCTGGCTGTTCACCCACTCACCGATCACTTCTCCGGCAACTGCCCGCTGCTGGCTGGTCCTGTTTCCGCACGTGGCTCGAGGGGACCCAGGCCTTCCAAAGAGTCCTCGGTGCAGCAGGCCCGAGGCCGTAGAGCCTTCCAGGGAGAGCTGTGTTTGACCTCGTCGGCCCCTGGCAGGGGGTGGGGGTGGGGGGGCCTCTGAGAACTGTGTTCGGACTCATGGGATCTGAGCCTCCTGCCATCACACTTGCTGTGGGTGAGCTTCTCCTTTCCCTGGAAAGTTCAAGTCTTAGAAGTGGAATGTGGACTTTGTTGACATGTTTTCCCTCCTAGCTGAGTCACCTGTGGTTTTTGTTCCCAGAACCCATTCTCCTGCGTTTTGGTGGGGGGGGGGCCACGTATGTGCCTTGCTTCTCCCACAACTGAGCCGAGGCTTGCCTCACGCCTTCCCACACCCCGACCTTCCAAGGAAAGCTTCTGGGTGTGCGGTGAGCTGTTTTCTAGCGGTTGAGAAGAGAAATGGAGAGTGACATGCCCATTTGCCTCGTTTTGAACATTTTTAGTTTGGTAAAAACAACCCACCCAAACCAACGTTGCACTGAACTCACCTTTTAGAAACACCACGTGCCCTCTTGAACCCGGCTGTCGTGTGCCAGCTCCGGCCCCTGGCTGCCAAACCCTGCTCGCGCTCCGTTCTCAGCTGGGTCTGGCCTGCTCCACGCGTCTTCCCCAGGCTGCCTGGCCGTAGAGCTTCCTTTCCCACTGCTCAGCACGGGCTTTTTACTGTTTCCTCTGTATTGGTTTACGGAGTATGGCCCCAACTTGATGGTGAACCCCAGAGCAGTGGGAACATTCCTCTAAAAGCAATCAGAGTCACCATAGATGAAAACAATTCAAATATGGCAAAGCGCAGGGAAGAAAGTGAGTTTCGGTTGAGATCCAGCCCCCCAGAAACAAGCGCTGGCCACATTTGCTGTGACGTCCGTCGGGTTAGTTCTCTTGATGCCGATGCCACTACCAGGTGAGGTTCGGGGGGTCTTACCCAAACACTATCCCGCCGGCCAGCGCTGTGGTGGGAGCCAGCCGGCGCCACTCTCCTTTGTCATTTCTTTTCCACTTCTTCCCCTTCCTGGCCTGGCCATCTACTATAATATTTTGTAAGACGTTGTTTCTAAAGGGTCTTCATTGATGGTCTTGGCTGATTATTCAACACACTTTTTTTTTTTTTTTAAGATTTTATTTATTTATTTGACAGAGAGGGAACACAAGCAGGGGATGCTGCAGGCAGAGGGAGAAGCAGGCTCCCCCCTGAGCAGGGAGCCCAACATGGGGCTCCATCCCAGGACCCTGGGATCATGACCCCAGCCGAAGGCAGATGCTTAACCCACTGAGCCACCCAGGCGCCCCCAACACACTTTTCTTGAGACGCAGAATGACGAGTGATTAGGAACAGACTCCATAGCTAAACTGCCATGTTTGGAGCCCTGAGTACACCTGTCTGACCCTAGACAGGTCACATAAACTCTCTGTGCCGTGGTTTCCTCATCTCTACAATGGGCATGAATAATAGTGCCTACCTCATACATTTGTGCTGGTGCTCGATTATGTTTTTATTATTATATTTAATTGAGGTATAACTGATATATGATATTATATGAGTTTCAGGGATACAACATGATTTGATATTCGTATATACTGTGAAATGATCATTGCAATAAGTCTGGTTATCATTTTTCACCATACAAAGTTACACACTTTTTACTTATGATAAGAACTTTTAAGATTTACTCTCAGCAACTTTCAAATATGCAGTACCATATTATTGACTGTAGTCACCATGCTGTGCACTACATCCCCATGGCTTATGTATTTTATAACTGGAGGTTTGGACCTCTTGACCCACCCTCACCCATTTTGCCCGGCCCCCAACTTTCCCTCCCCTCTGGCAACCACCGATCTGTTCTTTGTGTCTATTAGTTTTGTTCGTTTGTTTTTTTTTTTTTAATTCTGGTATAATTAACATGCAGTGTTATATTAGTTTCAGGTGTACAACATAGTGATTCAACAATTCTATTCCTTACTCAGTGCTCATTACGATAAATGTACTCTTCATCCCCTTCATCTATTTCACTCATTCCCCGACCCCCAACCTCCCCTCAGGTAACCACCCATTTGTTCTTTGTATTTAAGAGCCTGTTTTTTTGTCTCTTATTTTTTCTTTGTTTTGTTTCTTAAATTCCACATATGAGTGAAATCAGGTAATATTTATCTTTCTCTGACTTATTTCACTTAGCATAATACCCTCAAGGTCTATTCATGCTGTCCGAAATGGCAAGATCTCATTCTCTTGTTCTTTTTTTATGGTTGAGTAGTATTATATCTATCTATCTATCTATCTATCTATCTATCTATCTATCTATCTATCTCTCTATCTATCTATATCACATCTTCTTTATCCATTTATCCATAAGGATGTTTCCATATCTTCGCTCTTGGCTATTGTAAATAATGCTGCAATAACATAGGGGTGTATACATCTTTATGAATTAGTGTTTTTGTTGTCTTTGGGTAAATACCCAGTAGTGGAATTACTGGATCATATGGTATTTCTATTTTTAATTTTTCGGAGAAAACTCCATACTGTCTTCCACAGTGGCTGCACCCCAATTTGCATTCCCACCAACAGTGCAGAAGGGTTTCCTTTTCTCTGTATTCTCACCAACACTTGTTGTTTGTCTTTTTCACAACAGCCGTTCTAATAGGTGTCAGGTGATATCTCCTTGTGGTTTTGATTTGCATTTCCCTGATGATTAGTGATGCCGAACATCTTTTCTTGTGCTTGTTGGCCATCTGTATGTCTTCTTTGGAAAAATATTTATTCAGGCCCTCTGCCCATATTTTAATCAGTTTGGTTTCTGTTGTTGTTATTGAGTTGTTTGAGTTCTTTATATATTTTGGATACTAACTCCTAATCATATATGATTTGCAAATATCTTCTGTCATTCAGTAGACTGTCTTTTCATTTTGTTGATGGTTTCCTTTGCTGTGCAGAAGCTTTTTGGTTTGATGTAATCCTACTCGTTTATTTTTACTTTTGCTGCCCTTGCCTTTAGAGTTAGATCCAAAAAATCATTGCCAAGACTGATGTCAAGAAACTTACTCCCTATGTTTTCTTCTAGGAGTTTTACTTATCTCTGTTTCATCCAGGTTTTTTCCTGGGGTTTTATCTTATTCTTTCATTTGGAATATATTCTTCTGCTTCCTCATTTTGCTTGGCTCTCTGTGTTTATATGTACGTATTTGGTGAAATAGCCACCCCTTCCAGTCTTGAAAGACTGGCTTTGTGTAGGAGATGGATCTTATTGTACAACATTGTCCTAGTTCTTGGTTGCCTCTCAAACCTTTGTGATTGTCTAAGCAGACTGATTTGTCCTTGATGGGTCCCAGTGGTGGGGGGTGTGCCAAGACCTGCTGGTGTTCCAAAGGGAGGGATCTCCATCAACTCCTAGTTTCAGGCTGATTGTAAGCCAGACCTTCAGGCAACAGCTTGCTATTTTTATTTATTCACATATTTATTTTTGAGTGAGAGAGAAAGAGAGTGCATGCATCAGCGGGGAGTAAGTGTAGGGGCAGAGGGAGAATGAAAGAGAGCATCTTTTTTTTTATATAAAGATTTTATTTATTTATTTGAGAGAGAAAGTGAGCAAGTGAGAGAGCAGGAGCAGAGGGAGAGAGAGAAGCAGACACCCCGCTGAGCAGGGAGCCTGATGCGGGGCTCTATCCCAGGACCAGGAGACCGGGACCCAAGCCAAAGGCAGACGCTCAACTGACTGAGCCACCCAGGTGCCCTGAAAGAGAGAATCTTAAGCAGACTCCACGCCCAGCATGGAGCCCGATGTGGGGCTTGATCTCAGCACCCTGAGATCATGACCTGAGCCGAAATCAAGAGTCAGATGCTTAACTGCCTGAGCTACCTGGGGACTCTAAAGCAACGTCTTTTAAAGTGTGCAAACATATACAGTCTTATGGGACCACACCTGTAAACCCTGCTGGCCTCCCAACCAGGTGATTTGGAGGTATCCCCTGGGTGACAGTTGCAAAAATCAGAGCTCCAGATGAACGGATAAGCTCCGTTCTGGAAGGTACCAGTGAGCTGTCGTGAGGCCCGTAGGAGTGCAACGATACCAGCCCACATTCCCTGAGAGCCTCTGTAGCCTCTAGATATGTGGTGAGCCTGAAGCGTGCTACTTAGGCTAAAGCTCCAGACAAGGAAATAGGCCTTCTTTTTCACAGGAAGAGTGGGTGTGTTTCAGTCTGCAGTCTGTGCTGTGCCCTGGGTGGTAGCCTGCCAAGAACTGTCTCTCTGATGGTTTTAGTCCTGAGGGACTCAGAAAAGCATTCGCCCCTGGCCACCAGAGCCAGGGGTTCAAGAGTGTCCCCCTTGTGAACTGTGTGCCTGCTGGCTTTCATGGAGCCATGGGAGAGCATGGGGTGGGGTGCACCTACTGGCATTAGCAGGTAGTGGGGGAGCATGGGGGCTGTGTGGTGCCCACTGGCACTAGCAAGGTAGAGGAAGGGTGCCTGCTAGTGCCTCCATCCCTGGAGAGAGTCCCAAAGGCCCTGCCCCTCCAGCAGATGCTGAAAGATCAGCCAACGAATCTCCTTCGTGTAAAGTCTAGCTTTTTCTAAACTGCAGGCTGTGTGCTGGGTGAGTCTGCTCATGAGCCTTTTAAGAGCAGAATCTCAGTTCCCTACAGCACTTTGCATCTCCTGGAAGTAAGCCCTGTTGGTTTTCAAAGCCAGATGTCTGGGGGGCTATCTCCCTAGTGCATGCCCTGAGGGTGGGGGTGCCTGATGTGGTACACAAACTCCTCACTCCTTGGGGAGAAACTCTGTAATTGTGAGATCGCTTCCAACTGTGGGTCGCAGTGCCAGTCGTGGGGCTTTGGGGGAGACCACGTCTCTTCCTCTTGGACCTGTCTCTAGTGGCCCTATTCTCCTTTGTTGTGGGGGAGCTGTTCCTCTGTCTTTCAGGTCTTTTTTAGAAGGCATTCCTTCACATGTAGCTATAGATTTGGTGGGTCTGTGGGAGGAGCTGAGTTCAGGATATTCTTATGCTGCCATCTTGAACTGCCTCCTCAACTGTGTTTTCAGCAGGGCGTGGCATGTGGCGAACATTGAGCGAGAGTCATATTGACTATCTATTGACTATCTATTAATCTGGGGAGGACGGGGAGCCAAGGCTACAGCAGCCCTTACTCAGGCGTATGTACACAGCAGCATGGTAAGGGCTGTTGGATAGAAGTCAGCTCAAGATCTCTATCATGGGAATATGGAGGAAGGGCACTTAACCCAGTATGGGTGGGGACGGAGAGCATTCCCCCTGCAAGGGTGCATTGACCTTCATCACTCCTCGTCCACAGACAGAATAACATTTGTTCCACACCCTGGACCATTTGTGGGAGAGGCTATTCATAGCTGCAGGTGACCAGCTGGATGGCTTCCTCTAGGCATCCTAGTCTCGCCCTTCACTACCTTCCTTGGGGTGGGATGGGGCGGGCACACTGGGTGAGGGGCACCGATGGTGCATGTCACACCTGAGTGTCTTGGGTAATGAGTTCCTCTTGGCCCTGTCCTTCCTCTGATCTCTTCTTGCCTTCAGTCCAGCAATCCTATGAAGCCTTTCCTTTTTCCTCGTTGTGCTCTTCCTCTCAGTGGTTGGTGGCCCTGACTCCGAGGGCCACCGTGAAGGCAACAAGGAGCTCAGAAGTTTATTTCTGCCCAACAAGAAAAGAGTGTGATTCCTTTTGTTTTCTGGTCCAGATAAAAGAAAGGGGAGATGGGAAGAGGACAGGCTACATGGTACTTTAATTATACCCAGACAAGATTTCTAAAAAAGTTCTCAGCAACCAGCCTTCTGTGAGGATGATAACAAAACACTCTCTTCCAGCACTCGCCCTTGGTCCTGGGCCACAGGGGAGGGCATTCATCCTACCCTTACTGTGCACCATTGAGGGTGAGCGATGCAGAGTTTCCTGAGGGGGCAGTGAGCAGGGTTTCCACCATGGTTTTAAAACCATCTGTTTCGGTTAGGTTCTCTTGTTCTGTTGGCTCCTAATGGATGGAACTCTATGGAAGTCAATGCTGAAATGAGCTGCAGTGTAATTCCAAGCAATATATGATCAATATGTATGTGCCACATTGGGACACGAGGTTTCAGGTTCGATTACCAAATTTACCTTCACAGCATTGCATTTTGGGGTGATGGGAAAGGGGGTTGCATGAGGAGAACATGGTGGCATGTTGGGAGGTCGCCTGGAGGGGCATGAGTCCCGGGCCAGGCACTTCTGAGGGGAGTAGACAGGAGGTCTAGGGCTGCTTCTGATTTCATGGTGAGTCGGTCATGTGATCTTGGGCAAGTCCTTCAACCTTCTCGCTTCTCTTTCTTCTTCTTTAAAAGGAGGAACGGTAAACTGTGTTCCAGATGCGTGTAGGTGTCTCACCAGGAAGGTTCCTTGGTCAGGTATGTCTGGAAAACACAGCCTCTCCTTTCCGTTACAAGACTCATTAGCACATTACAGGATCTGCAGATACCTACAAGAAGAAAACTGATTAGGATGTTCAGCGAGCACTTCCCTCAATTTTTGACCCCAAAACCCCCTTTTTGTGGTGGTGGTGGTGGTGGGTAGGTACAGTTTGGGAAATATTGGTCTAGGTGTCCTTCCTGTTCTCGAACCTGTGATGTGCAGATCGTTGCCTGCACAGTGCACGGTGGTGACTGGGGCCTGAGTGTGCCTCTGTTCGCAGCTCAGCCTCTCTACCAGCTTCCCGGAGCACAGTGTCCACAGAAGCCCCAGCACTGAAGCCAGCACCTGAAATCCTTACAGCTCCTTACAGGTGGGTGTGGCGCATCAGGCAGAGCACCTACAACCGTCTCCTCTGTCGCTGAGCCTTGCACGCGGCAGCGACCCTGGGGCCTCTCCATTCTGCTCCCTGCTTTGCACATCCCGTGTCCTCTCTCTGCCAGGCTCTCCAGAGCCGCCCTTGCCAGCCCTGGCCCTCCTCTGCCCTCCCCCTGGATCACTGCCATTAGATGACCCCAGGCTCTCCCCTCCCTCTGCTCTGCCCTCCCCCCCCCCAACCCTGGGTCTGCTCTGAGGAGAGCGGGGCTCAGCTGATTCCTGTGGTTCCTCCCTCCTCCCCCACGATTCCTCAGCTTGAACAGAAACTGTCCACCCCTTACCTGCAGTCACGAATGACTATATCCATAGCTTACTACTTTGTGTGGTTTGAAAAGTCTTTTGTTTGTTTTATAAATCAAGATAGCTTGCATGTATATAGCTTTTTTTTTTTTTTTACCCTTCAAAGCCCTCATTCATGATCTCATGTCATGGTCTCTGATCCCCGAGTGTGGAAGGGAAGTGATTACAGAGGTCTTAGAGGCCCCACAGCCCACAGAGCAGAAGAGGCTGAGGCTTTTGTCACATTGTCCTGGCAGTGGGAGGAGTCCCACATGGCCTTCCTTCAGGCCCCCCCTGTACCTTGGTGACCTGGCCAACTGTGTAGACCGAAGCATCCACGCCAGCTGGAACACTGCCCCTTCTCGTGGTCACACCACTGTGTATCTGGGCCGGCTCCCGGGCTGGCCACACAAAGCCATGTTCTTCTGCTTCCAGAGGCTCAGGAGTGCAGGGTGCAGAATGTCCTTCCCCGGGAGGCTTGGCTTCTGCATCAGGAGCCGAGCTTCCTTGCACTGGTGTTTGTCAGGGTGTTTTGGGGTGTGCAGGAGTCTGAAGCCAAATTTTTCAGCCCCTATTGGAGAAGCAAGTTTTATTGTGTAAACATTTGAAGAGGGAGTGGAGGAAGCCAGCAGGGAGAGCCCTGCGGGCAGGTGGATGATTATGCAGAGTTGCAAGCAGCCCTGTCAGGGACAGGTCTTCAGTGCTGCGTAGGTCCTGACCTGGGGAGACACCCCTGCCCCTCCTTCTGGCTGTCTCTGTGGGACACTGGTTCGTCTGTCTGGCCTCCTCTCTTTTGCAACCAGCGCAGCTCCAGAACCCTCCAGCAGCACTCCGGGTGGACATGCCCACTGATCAGAGTTGTTGTGGGTCAGGGAAGCTCTGGCCATTATCATTTTTCACACTGGGGCCCATGAGCATCTTCAACTCCTTCATATACGTCATGGCTTATATCTGACACCTTTCTTTAAAAACAAACAAATAAAAAAACTCCCAATGTAAACAGAGTAATTATGGAACCTTGTCCTACAACCTAATCCAGCATTAAAAAAAATCCTAAAAAACACAAAAAGCAACTGTATGCTCTAAGTCAGCTGTATGGAGACGCTTTGTTGTGATTTTCAAGCGTTACTGCGATCCTTCCCTGCCTGGCCTTAGCTCTGGCTCCACTTCCTCTTGGAAATGGGCAAGGGGCTGGCACTGCACGCCAGGCCCAGCTCCGCAAGAGCGAAGCCAGGGCAGGACCGTATTTAACTGAATTCCACAGACAAAATTTTCCTCTTGTTCCATACTTGCACTGTTAACTATGAAAAAAATTTTATTTTTGGTGGAAATTGCTCTTCAATAGTCTATTTATTTATAAAAATTTTGTAAAGATTTTATTTATTTGAGAGAGAGGGAGAATGCGAGACAGAGAGCACGAGCGGTGGCGGGGGAGGGGCACAGGGAGAGGGAGAAGCCGTCTCCCCTGCTGAGCAGAACCCGGGCATCATGACCTGAGCTGAAGGCAGATGCTTCACCGACTGAGCCACCCAGGCGGCCCTTCAATAGCCTTTTTAAATGACAAAGCCAACAGATAGAAAACATAAAGGGACAAAGGAGAAAATAAAAAATGAACCATCATCTTACCATCCAGAGATAGCCACTTTTGACATTTTGTAATATTTCTTTCCGGTTATGTGTATACACATTGCAGTCTTGGAATTGTTGTATATATAATTTTGTATATAGCTATAACTTTTCACTTAACATTACAGCACAACTGTGTTTCTCTGTCGTTAAATGCTCTTGAAGTCACCATCTTGAAATCACTGCTCTTCCTTCCATTGTATGGATATACCATAATTTATTTAACCATTCCCACATTATGAGACAAATACACTGGTGCCAGCTTTTTTGGAACTGTACATGATGATGCTTCGGGGAGCATCTTTGCAAATAAATCCAAGTTTCTGACCTGTTCCAGCGGTGGATTGCCAGAAGGTCGGTGAGGGGTGGAACTCGGATTGCCACATTGCTTTCCAGAATGGCGATTTCAAACACGGATGGGTGAGGCTTGCGGCACATGTCAGCAGCCTCAGCTGGAGACTGTGGAGGTGTCAGAATTGTCCATCTTGATTTTCACTGTCTTCCTGTCAGTCCTGAGGTGACGTGAGAGGTCAAGGTTTGACTCGTTACTTTAAGAGGCCCAGGCCAAAAGAGAGTAAGAAAAATGAACGCTTATTGAGAATTTACCTTGTGTGGCACCCTCTGGAAACAATGATAATAGTAACATGATGCTTGGGAAGGAGCTCTATTCTGGAACATTCCACACACTTTCTTGGCTTCATGAAGTCTTTACTAACATCTTTATTATTTTCGCTTTTAGGGTATCCAGGTTTTAAAGACCTTGAATATGAGTTGAAGTCATATAAATCATCTAAGTTGTGGTAAGCAGTAATGTCCAGTGGGCATATGGATGCCTGGACACTGGCCATTTTTATTTCAGGTTTTCTCTGTTCCTGATCAACAGCCAGTCCATCCTGGGCACACTTAGGCCCAGGCTGGATGCTCCCTCCGAGCAATGTCAAAATTGTCACTTCACACATCATTCCAAGGACGTAGACTCCAAAGAAGGCAGTGCTGAGGGGGTCTAGAGAAGGGGCGTTGGTTTTCTGAGATAATTTTTCTCTTTCCTTCAGGTTCAAATTTTTTTTTCTTTCCCCTGCTAACTGCTAAGTTCAGAGTCTCAGGGGGTGAAGTAGATTCTGAGCATTGGAGAAGTGGAACACTATGATTCTCAAATTCAGGTTTATTTCTTCCAAATACCCAGAAAACCGATGTGTAGAAATGTCTTCGCTGAAACCATGCCACTTGCAGCCAGACGCACACTCAGCCTGCATTCGAGGTGCTGAAGTAACATGACAGATGGTGGGTGGGGAGACGTCCCAAAGAATGCCCTCCAGGAGGCAAGCTCCTGGTCTGAAGGTTAGACCTCCCGCCACCGCCTTCTTCCTCAGATCCCCAGGTGACGAGGCTCACCCTGGGGCGGAGGGTCTAGCATTAGACCCTCCAAGCTCCTTTCTCTCCAGGGTGCTGGCCTCTGCCCGGTGCCAGCAGGAAAGGGAGAAACGGCCTGACGTGCTGCACGCCAGTGTGAGACGCCCCAAAACAACGCGGTAGCATCTGATGTTCCCAGGATTCACTGGGTGTTCCAACCGCGGCTCATGTGGCCCTGTAAACATTATGCAATCTCTCTCAGCCTCAGCTTCCTCATCTATAAAATGGGCTCATGGAACTGCCCCCCCCCCCCCGCCTTAAGTTGGTTGTGACCCTGTATTGAAAGATCCTAGATTGGAAATGTAGCATAAAAGCTTAGAAGGTGCAGGATCAGTATTGCCATTCTTGTGTCTCATCCCACAGAACAATCAACAGAGGCTCCTGGGGTGCTTCTAATGGCGGGCTTTCGGTATGTGGAGAGACCTCAGAGGGAGATATTTCCTCCAAGCACAGAGATATTCTTCTGACCTCAGGCGGTGCTCACACCACAGGCACGATTCAGGGCAGTTCCTCCCCGTGGGGTTTGGAGTCCCTACTCCTCCTCACCCTGGCGCCCAGGGAATCCCTTTGGATTCCTGTCTTCTGTGTCTTCCCTGAGTCCCTGCAGGCTGCCTTGGCTGAGAGGCCCTGAACCCTGTGCTCATCAGTCAGCTATCAGGCAGAGGTGCTCTCTATGTGCCTAAGCTGGTTGGGGAATTGCAGGGAGCCCAGCCGGGTGCAGGGTACAGAACTGCAGGTGCATGGAGTGTCTAGAGGCCCATGGGCAGTGCCAGGCCATGGGCAGACAGAGGTGGGGCTGTCCCCTCCCCTGCTGTGACCTCAATGCTATCTCAGACCAAAAGCAGGAGACTCTGATGGGGACAGAGGGCCCCAGTTGCCCCCAGGGCAGTGCTCGGCAACAGGCGACTTCATAGCCAACTGCTGCCCAGAGTCCAGCCCCAGGAAGGCAGCCTTTGGCTTGTGGCCTGGGCTCAGTCCCCGCCAGGTGTGACCACACCACCTGAGCTACATGACACAGAGCATGGTGACTTTCATGCCAGCTGCCTCTTACAGGATGGCTGTGGGGCCTAGCTGGCCCCGGCACAATCTTGGACAGCTGGGCTTCTTTCTGGCAGTTAGCCCCACTGACAAGGAAACGGGCCTTGACCTGTGCCTGCTGTGTGGCAGCCCCTCCGCTGATAGGAGTTTACCGAGCCCAGGACTGATTTGGAGCTTACTAACCCTGGTTTCCAGAACCGGGCTTATGTTGTACCTATCCTAGAGGCTGTATTTAAAAAAAAAAAAAAAAAAAAAAAAAAAGAATATCTTACTCAGGGTGTAAGTAACTCTTCACAGTCTAATCCCAGTGCAGAGAAGAGTGAATGTTCTTGGTGTTTATTAGAGGTTTCTTAAAGGAAATCTCTCACCGTTCTCTTGGGTGTGGCACTGGCTGCTGGGAACAGACACAATTTATCTTGCAGAGGAAACTGTTTTGCAAGAGGTTTCCCACAATTATGGTCTGAGGGAGGGTCCCTGCCAGCTTTTCTTAGTCATTTGGGCTTAGAGGGAAGGTGGGTTTTGTTATTGTTGTTTGCCTTTTTTTTTTTAAAATCTGAAGGCAGGAGCCATCTGGGAGTAGGCACACATGGGTAATTACCCTGAGTTAGGGAGACAAAAGGATTGCTGATCAGCAGCTCTCAGGGCTGCTGCAGGTGGCTGATGGCTTTTGGTGGAATGTCACCAAGTACTCAGGCTACAGGGTGAGTCAGAAATCCTTAGGTCACTTGTGGTTTTCTTTCATGGTTTTGCTGTGACTATTAACTTGTTTTTACTTAACAAGAAAAACAGGTGTTTGGGTGTCTGAAAGAGTGCTGCCCTCTCTTAGCAGCTTACTGTAGTCACATAGCTGCCCCAGCTTGGTCCACACTAAATAGATAACCAAAAATGAGGGAGAACCAGCAAACCCTTTAGACAGGGCCTCCCGGGACACTCAGATCCTTGTGATGCTCATGAAGAGGGAAAGTGAGCTTAGAGTCATCCATCCTTTGATAGTTTGAATTGCTGGCTCGGTGAGACAGCGCCCGGGGCCCCCACAGCCCCCTCTGGGGCTCAATCTCCCTTTGGAAGTGAGTGCATGTGCTCTGCCCCTGGCTTTGAGTTTTCTATATCCCGCCCGGATGAGCTGACAGCTCTCACCTTGAGTTCTGGTGCTTTTTGGATGGAAATGAAAGCACCACATTTGTCCAAACCCAGCGTTGGGCTTTCTTTCCACCTGGCCAGGCAGGTGGAAAGGCTCTGCAGCTTTTGCATTCCCGCTAACATCAACGCACACACTCCGAATTCCCAATCCCAGGAAGGATGGCTGCCTCCAAGGAGAGAATGGCTGCCTCCCCCGCTGCGGGCGCTCACCGCTTCCCTCCCGTCCTCAGGCCTGAAAGGATGTTTCAGGCTCACTACAAAGACCTTCAGAATGGGACTATTTGGTTCCAATCAAACCTGCTCTATTCACAGGAGTGAAAGCGATGGGAGGTGTCAGATTGGGCCCTCAGCCTTGGGACTGGAAGTGCTAGAATCTGCCAGACAAACACAGACCAGGAACTTTTTTTTTTTCTTACCAGGAGTTAAAGGTGGCCCCAAATGTCCTCCTGTGACCCCATTCCCACTGGACCTGCATTATACCTGTCTGTGACCTTTAGACACAGAGCTCTTCAGGGTTGGGCTTTTCATTCTCAGCTTGGAGCAAGGCAGCTGGTGGCCAAATAGCGACCACCTTCCTGGTCCTCTGCCACCAAGCCAGACCCCAAGGCTGCCGGCCCCCTGGAAATCGTGGGGTGCCTGGACTTTCCCTTCTATGGCAGGGGAGCTCCAGAGATTTGCTGCCTTGCCACATCACCGAGGCGGGCAGGACAGGTCAGCGTGGCGGGCTGAGTTAGACATTGGGGTCATTAGAAATGAACCTCGCAGGAGTTGCCTGCGAGGGAGGGAGCCGGCAGGGGCAGCGCGGCAGGAGATGCCTGCGGTGCAGCCGGGGAAACAGGGAAACCGCTGTACAAGTCACCTCGGCCCCCTCCCCGGCCGTGTCCCCAGTCCTCTACCGTGCGTGGTGAGGAGCAGTCAGTTCATCGAACGGATTGTTCTCTTTGCGAGGTGAGAGGTGGTGCGGGGTGGGACACCTGTCAATGCGTCACGGGTTGCTTTCAGGGCCATCTTTTATCTTCCTCTTCCCGTTTGTAGTTCTTGGAGGGACAGCAGAACGGCAAGTAGACACCTGGGCTGCCGTGAATGAGTGAGCGCATGGGACAGGGGCTCCGGGGCCCATGGCCGTCCTCGCTGAGGGGTGGGCTGCCCGTGGGAAGCGGAGCTGAGCCCGGCGGACTCGAACCCTCAACAATGAGGGGGCAGCAAGCCGTTGCAAATGAGGGGGCAAGTGGCTTGTGGACAGAGGGATGTTCTCTCCGGCACATCCTTGCCAGGAATGTGGAGCTTCATCAGGACGAGGCCCAGCGGACAGCTCCCCTTGTAGCAGATGAGTTTCCTTTGGTCTCTGCAATTCTCATGTTCGGGGAGTAACTGTGTCCGTGCTGCCCCCCTCTGCTCCCACTGTGCAAAGGGCTCGGGTCTGCTGGCACAGAAGTACCCCCGCCTCCCGAGGGTGTGGGTGCGGCTGGCTGGTCACCGTCTACCTGCTGCCTGCCCTCATCGAGTGCAGAGGTCCCGCTCAGCCTTCTGGCCCCCCAGGAGATACCTGTCATGCCCGCACCATGGAAACCCTGAGAGCTAGTGGCCCAGGGTCAGAGGTGGGCAAGAGTCTTAAGATCCATACAAGCCATTCCGAAAGTTTCCCTTGATTTGACCAGCATTGAGCACCTGCTGTCTATGGGGAACTGTATCAGAATCAAAAGGGGGTAGCTGTTGCTGGTAACCGATGAGACAAGGTACCTGAACAGCAGTTGCTATCCTGCTCCCTGGAGCCTGAAGGAGTTCTTAGAGAGATGGGGGTGGGGCGGTGGTCCTCAGAAGCTGCCAGCAGAAGAGAAGTGTTAATCCTCTTACTGTGAAAATCGGATCCCTCGTTTTTGTCTATCTGGCAGTGGCTCTAGGAACAGAATCATGCCAAATGCTTGCTTGCTGCTTACCTGCCTGGTCTGATCTTCTCACCTAAGGTCGGGTCTGGACACAAAGCTTGGAAGGTTGGTGCCCAGAAGAGGGACCGGGAGGAGGGGAGACCCCCCTCCCCAAGCCCCTGATGCCTCCTCCTACTCTGTCTTATTGGCATCCAAAGAAACCAAGGCGTGTTTGGGGTGAGCTCTGCTCCGTGTGTTTCCTCATCCGTCTCCTTCCTGTGCTGGGCAGTGCGTGGCCTCTCCTCTCCCAGCACGCCAATGGCCACAACCTCTCCCTGCTCTAGAGTCAGCACTCCCCCAGAACAACTTCTCACTTTGTGCCAAGCAGCGTGTGGCCAGGGGAGAGACAGCCAGGCTGAGCCTGTTCCCAGAGAACACTTCCTTCAGGAGGGAGAAAGGACACAGTGAGCCCAGGGCAGACCCTCCCAGCACAGGCTGAGTACCCCATCTCTGAGCAGCCGAGAGTTGCAAACATGTGGGAGGCATTGTCATTTGGGCCTTCCTTCCTGAGGCCGGGCTAGCTTACTCTTTGAGCTCACACTTCAGCACAGTGTCTTGGAGAAAACGGTGGACGGACCCCCGCACCCCTGCAGTGTCAGGATAAACACTTTATTTCCACTCAGCTTGCTGACCTGCCCCCAGGGAGAAGCTGTGTCTCATCTGACTGGGGAGACTGGTGAGAGCCTGAACATGCTGGGCCACATTTACAAGGGAATATGGCCACCATGTTTCATTAATGTTCTCTCTTTTGCACCTCACGCACACATCACCATGAGTCCCACCAACTGGGAGGAAGGGCCAGGGCTCTTCTCTGTTTTCTTTCCAGATGGGAAGCACATCTGGGGTAGAACCAGTCTTTCTGACAGCCCTTTCTGTCTTGCCATCTGCTGGACCTATGTGCCTGGCATAATCTTCCAAACAGTACATAGCAGACCCAGACTTCCTCTGGAAGTTCCAAGGCCTAGACTTGAACGTGATGCTAGGAGCCCCCAGCTTGCCTTCTGGGACCAACCAAGTTCTCCAATCCAGCTTTTTCACAGAGCTGTGACCTTTGCAAGTTTTAGGCCATGTCATCCTTATTTTCATCAAGATTTTTTTTTTTTTTTTTTTTTTTTATGCACAGGCTGTAAGATTTCAGGGAAATTTAGGTTTTCTTGAACACTGATTAGTCACAAATACTATTAGGAGCGACAACATTCATTAACAAGTTTGCCTCCATGTCCTTGTTGTAGTAACACCTTACAATCTGCATTGGCCTCATGGACCAGTCTCTGCTCCTTGGTGTCTGGGGCCTCAGCTGGGGAGACACAAAGGCTGGTGGTGATGGGGGCTGAGGCCTGGAATCATCTGAAGACTTGTTTGTAATTGCGGTGGTTGATGCCAATTATCAACGGGGATCTTATCTCTGGCACCGTCATCTGGAACACCTAGGTATGGCCTGGCCTTTCAGCATGGTGGCTTCCCAGGGGTCAGATTTCTCACACGGGCCTCAGGTTTCCAGCTGCAGGGTGGAAACTGCATCACCTTTTACGCCCTGGCTTTGGAAATCAGATGTTACCCTTTGGCTGCATGCTTTTGGTTGAAAGCAAGTCCCAAGCCTGCCCAGATCAAGAAGAAAGGAATTAGATCCTACCTCCTGATGGAGGAATGCAATGTTTTGGAAAGGCACGTGGGGTGGGAGGTATTCTTGTGGCCACCTTTGGAAACACAATCTGCCACAGAACAATCAGTGAGAAGGAAAATGTACAAGTTTCCTATTTTTCTGTCTCGTTCTACCAGAGGGCACAAGGTTGAGAAGAGCAAAACTGGGCAGGAAAACTCTGAGGAGCAGCCAGTAATGGAAAGGGTGGTGGGTTTCTCATATAGTTGACTGGGAAACACCCGTGTGTGAGCAGGGGACTCAGGGACCCTTGCTTTGGAACATTGTTTGCTGGTAATGTCCACTGTGGACTTTTAAATCTGAGCTCTTGCATTGCAACAAAGCATCCCTCCCCTTGCCGTTTTGGGCCAAAAATATGTCACAAAGAGTAGTGATAGTTTTCCATAAAGGTGTTTTGTGCAGGGTGTGGGGGCCCATACATGTGCAGCAAATGAGGTTGTGATCATTGCATGACTTTCTCAGAATCTTTAATAAGGGGCCCATACAGGAGTGCTGTGTCCTTTCTCTTCTTTAGACAGAAGATGGAATCTGTGAAGATTTCTCTCTTTCTTTTTTTCTAATTTTCTTTTTTAAAAATTTTCTTAAGATTTTATTTATTTATTAGTGAGAGAGAGAAAGAGATTGAGAATGAGCCAGGGGGAGAGGCAGAGGGAGAGAGAGAAGCAGACTCCTCGCTGAGCAGTGAGCCCGATGCGGGGCTTGATCCCAGGACCCTGGGACCATGATCTGAGTTGAAGGCAGACGCTTAACCGACTGAGCCACCCAGGTGCCCATCCGTAAAGATTTCTATATGATTACTGTGTGAGGATTTAAAAAGTTGACCCTAAATCTTACCAGTAATTCCTAAGAGGCAAAGAATTTTGTGATAATAATTTTAATATTAATCAGTTGAATATCTATTCAAATGGATAGAAAATTGCCTTATTCTAAATACTTTATATTTTAAGGACTTTTTTTATTATGTTGTTTTGGGCATCTGGTACAAAAACACATCGTATGTGCGATATACATAATTATTAAAAAAAAATCCTATGATCCAAGGATCCTTTTAATACCATCTTCTTGGGCCTGCGTGCTAGATGTCTATCCCTGCTCGTGTAGGAAAGAAAGTTCATTCCTCTCGGGCACCTGGGTGGCTCAGTCGTTAAGCATCTGCCTTCGGCTCGGGTCATGATCCCAGGGTCCTGGGATCAAGCTCCGCATTGGGCTCCCTGCTCCGCGGGAAGCCTGTTCTCCCTCTCCCACTCCCCCTGCTTGTGTTGCCTCTCTCCCTGTGTCTCTCTGTCAAACAAATAAATAAAATCTTAAAAAAAAAAAAAAGTTCATTCCTCCATTATCTGAACTGAAGTGAACGGAAATATCTCAGGGGCAAGTAAATTTGGGCTAAAGGCCAGGTGGCTTATTATAGGGCTTTTTAAAAAAATTTTTGTGGCTATCATGTTTTGATGTTTAAATGCTTAGATTCAAAGCAGTAGCTTTGCGGGGGGCCTAGTGTATAGTGTGGAATGCCAGGAAATGGCCACACT